GGGTCATTAATGTGACTACATTTGTCAGGGAATGTAACTGGGATAGGAACATCCAAGATAACTTACATACCAGGTGCCTTATTGGGGTGGCTAGAACATCTAGGTCTGCCTAGAACTCTCCAATACAGTTCTAAGAAAACAAAAATAGCCACAGACAGCCTCTAAGGTTGAAGCTTGAAATTTGCACAGCTTCACTTCCGCCACATTCTATGAACCAGAACAGTTACCAAGATTCAAGAATACTGGATATAGACTTTGCTTCTTGGTGAAAGAAATAGCATACACATACAAGTATGAAAAGAGTGTTACAAGTCATCTTAGGTGGCAGTCCATTATCTGGTCACAAACATATACAACCCTCTGAAATTCCAGAGATTCCCTAAGACCCATTCAAACACAGCATCAGATTCAAATCAAAAGTTTAGCATCCACCATCCAACCATCTAAATCAAGGCCAAGCGTAGATGAGACGCCTCCAATATAGATTTAATGCAAGAAACAGAGACACTTAATAATGTTAAGTGTGCCAAACTGCCAGAAAGAGATAATTTTAAATGTATACATATCTCATAAAATTTCTTCAAAATATAAAATGCAATAATGACAGGAATAAAAGGAAAATAGACAAGTTACAAGTATGGTGGGAAGCTTTAATATAATTCTCTTAGTAACCAATAGAAAGTCAGAAAAAATAAAAATATTAGAACAATCCAATATAGACCATAGAATAATGTGACAATTTAAATACTGTATCAACACTTACACATTCTTTTGAATAAAATGCAGAATATTTTTTAAAAACTTAACTACATACTACCCCATAAAGCAAACTTCTAATTTTTAAAAGATTGAAGTCAGAAAATGTGCAGGACATACTGGAATTGAAGTAGATGTCAATATAAAAATTAAAAAAAACCCTAAGGGTTAGAAAATGAAACAATATACTTCAAATTAACTCATGGGCCAAGAGTAAATCTTAGTGGAAATTTGAAAATATTTTAAACAAAATGATCACTGAAATACAATATATCAAAACTGGTACATTGCTAGCTTGGTACTAACTCATGCCCGTAATACTAGTTACTTGGAAGGCTGACCTTGGGAGGTTCGCAATTCCAGGCCAGCTGGGGCAAAATAGTTCACAAGGCCCCATCTCAACAGAAAAAAGCTGGGAGTGGTGGCACATGCCTGTCAGCATTGTGATGGTGGGAAGCACAAAACAGGAGGTTCAAGGTCCAGGCCAGCATGGGCAAAGAGTGAGACCCTATCTCCAAAATACCCAGAGCAAAAAGGAATGATAGAGTGCCTGCTTAGCAAGTGTGAAGGCCTGAGTTAAAACCCTTGAAGAAAAAGACAAGAAAAAAAAAACCTGACACATTGCTCCTAAGGCCACACTTAGACAAAAATGTATAGCACAAATACATTAAAAAGAAACACAGATTTTAAAAAAATCAAAGATCTAAATGCTCCTATAAGAAGTTTATAAAAAGCAAGTTAAACCCAAAAGGATAGGAAAGAAAGAAAATGAACAGAAAATAAAGTCAACAAAGCCAAAGTTTCTTTGAAAAGCCTAAATCAACTGATGAATCCCCAAAGAGAATGATCAAAGATAAAAAGGAGAATGAGAAGGAGAAGACACAGTTACCAATATCAGGAATGAAAAAGGGCAATGTATTGAGATACAGTATAGATCTCACAAATACTAAATTATGAGGATATTATAAATAATGTGTGACAATAGATTTGAAATGTAGTTGAATGAATTCCTGGAAATATAAAAGATATAGAAACTGGCACATGAAGAAAAAAGCATCTGAATAAATCCGTATTAGTTTTAAAAGTTGAATCTGTAACTAACCACCTCCCCTAGCCAGAGAAAACCCAAATACAATTAACTTTAGCAATAAAATCTTTAAAATATTTGAGGAGAAATAACACTAACCTCACACTAACTCTTCAGGAGAATAAGAAAAGGAACTTCTTTTGTGAAATCAATATAATTTTGATACTAAAATTCATCAGTAAAGAAGACTAGATCCATCTTTCTCATGAACACAAATGCTAAAATTCCAAACTAATTTATAAGTCAAATCCAGGAATTTATAAAAAGAATAATATATCATGGACAAGTTGAATGCAGAGTTGACTTTACATTTGTAATTATCAATATAATTTACCATATTGCCAATAAAAGAGAAGAATCATGTGACCATAACAAAAATGCAAAAAAGATATTTACTAAACTCAACATCCATTATTTAGGAAAAACTCTTAGGAAACTACCAATAGAAGGAAACTTTTTTTTAATCTGATGAAGAACATCTACTAAAAACACTTAAAGAAAATATATATTTAATGATGAAATACTAAGAACTTTCTCTGTGAGACTAAAAGAGTGCCTGATATCATCACTTATATTTAGCATCATGTTGAAAATCCTCCCCAGTGTAAGAAATCAGAAAGAAAAAGTGATTTAAGTATTTAAAAATAACAAACAAAAATCTATTATTATTCACAGACAATATGATTATGTATGCATAAAATCTAAAAACCTAAATTAATAGAACTGATAAGTAAATTAATCAATTTCAGTACATAAAGGGTTAATATTCCAAAAATGTATTCTTTTCCTATATACTACTAAATAGAAAAAGTTAATGTTGCTTATAATAGCATCAAAAATATATTAAGTATCTTGGAATGAACCTAATGAGAGAGATATCTTCTACAGACAACAGTATAGAAAATTACTGAGAGAAGTTGAGGCCAAACTAAATAAATAGGGGGGATATTCCATTTATAAATTGAATGACACAATCATTATTAATTATTAATTAATAAAATTAACTTAAAAATTCAATGCAACCAATTATTACAAACCCAGCAGGTTTTCTTGGGAGGGAAAGGGAGAATAGAATTGATTTTTAAATGTGTAGAAAAACACAAAAAGCCCCAAATAGGCAAAACATTTTTCAATAAGAACATTTATGACTTAAAATACTAAATAATAATATTTATTATAAAACAACACTAATAGGCCAATATGGTATTCACATAAGCATAGGCAATAGACCAGAAAGCAGTTTCCAGAAACAGACATACATGGCTTCTTGTCTTAGGACAAAGATGAAATTACATACTGTGGAATTAGATTGTGGAATAAATCACTTTTCAATAAATAGGGCTGGGTCAATTGTCTATCTTTTATAAATTAAAAGTAAATATACACATTCACCTATGTTGTCCACAAGGATAAATTACAATAATATTATATATATATATATATAACAAATAATTAATGTTTCTAGAAGAGAACGTAGGAGAAATGTCCCTCTGGCCCTAGAGTACACAGAATTCATTTGAAGGGAATTAAAAAATCTCCAACCATAAAGAAAAAGATTGATGAATTGGACTATATCAAAGTCAGAATAGTTGTTCATCAGAAAGCACTGTCAATGAGTAACAAGGAAAGTCACAGATTGGAGAAAGACATTAATCACATATGTATTCAGCAAATGATTCATACCCAGAGTTTGAAAGAACTACAAAACAGAAAAAGACTGAAAACCAACGGAAAAATGGGAAGATATTTGAATAGATATGTCACATAAAAGAGTATCCAAATCAACAATTAGAATATGAAGAAGTGATGAACCTTATAATTCAGCAAGATCACAAAAATTAAAACTGTATTGAGATAATTCCAGCAGAATAGCTAAAATTTACAAGACTTACCTATATTAACAAGGATTGTAGAGCAAGGAAGTACTCTCACACGTGGCTTGGGGAAGTATGAATTGGCATAATCGCTTTGGAAAATAATTTGGTAGTACTTTCTAAACTGAATATTGCATATGCATGCATTTTGAGCAGAGGATTCCACTCCTGAGTACATACCCAATAGGAATGTGTTCTCATATACACCAGGAAACATACAAGAATGTTCACAGCCATGATATTTGTTTTAGCTATAAAACTTGTTCCCTTTGAGGTTGTCTTAATAGACGGAGATGGATTAATTTCCATTTACCCTGCCCGGCATGTTTTTTTCTGGGCACAGTAGGTCTGATGCTGCTAATATAAAATGAAGTGCATTAGTAGATACAAAATTAAATGTTCTTTTGGGAATACTAAGCTATGAGTTCAGAGAGAAAGGTGGGAAAAAATTATTCAAAAGAAAGAAACTGTCACTCTTTATCTTAGGAACCTTTGTTGACCCATATGCCAAGATGGAAACTTGCTTTTAAAATACTTATAAAAGCAATACATTCACATAGTAGTTTGTAAAAAGAAATCAAACAGCATAGAAGGATGTAATATGAAATGCCTCCTTTCTGTCTATAATTAATCAAATATAACCAAGATTTTTGTGTGCTCTCCAGAAAAATGTATACTTATATTTGTTTGTATACACCTATATTCTATTTTTTACATCTACTGCAAAGACATAATACTGCAAATATTAATCTACTTCTCACTTTTTTCTCTTCTATTAATAAGGGTGGTCTTTCTTGGCATGTGTAGTTTTACCTCATTATTAATGGCTTCATTGATGCTGCACAGATGTATCATAGTATTCTTGGTTTTTGGGGCTCATAATTGTCTTAAATAGTCCCATATTCATGGTCTTTTATATTGCTTCTAGTGTTTGGGCAATGATGAATGATGCTACAATGAATATTTTTATAGAACTATCTTCTCATACTTTCCTTAAGGTAATTTCCCAACAGCAGAAATATGGGTCAAGGGTATTTGATTTTTAAAAACCCTAACATTTATTTTCTCACTTTGATCACAAAGCAGGAAACTTTGATTAGTAGTTAAAGGCGGGTACTCCCACTTCCTTTTTTCTGATTCACGGATGTGTTCTGCTCTTTAAAAAAAGCAGTAGTACTCCTTGGGGTTAATATGAGCTGGGTATTGACTGTAAGATCAAGATCAAACTGTTAATCCTGAGCAAGCACCTCCTTTGGTCTCAACTCTGAGTGGTTCCAGTCTTCATGCTGCTGTGGGTGACACTACTGGTCCTGAGTGAGTAGGTGGCTCAACATGGGCTCAGGGTGGGTTGGACAGCATCTCTCTCCACCACAGGCCTTCCACATAAGGAAGCTATATTTTCTTGCTGTACAGTTCAGAACTTCCTCTCTTGAGCCCAAGAATGTGGTCACAGCTAGAAAAAACCTTCAACCTTAAGAGAAGGAAACCATAGTAATCACAGCAATTGAGGTTTCATTTATGTTTTCAATGTTTTACAAAGCCTAGAAAATGGGTCATGTTTGCTTGTTTGTAGTGTTATGTTCAAATAAGACTACCCACCCCTCTGCAAAGGAGATGCATTTATCTCTTGTATGATAAGCCGTCCAGTCCTGGCCATCACAGGACAAGTTATCTCACATGAAAGATGCTTCCTCCTGCACACAAATGCAAGGCATAGTAATGATTGGGAACTGAAGGACACAGTAGGGCCAGGGATTGGACACAGAGGAGGCAACATGCAAGGCAAGACAATATTGACAACTGGTAACATTCTCACTGTGCCTGTGGGTGTTCATGCATCTCTGTCAATCTATGCCTATGAACAGGTTGGTTTTTGCCAATGTTTACATATTAAAATTAAATGTTTATTCATTTGCTCAGCAAAAAGTTTTGTATCATGCACAGCACTGTATCAAATACTGGGAAGGGTGGGCAAACATGGGAGGCCTCACTTCTGTGCTCAGAAAGCTCAGCTATCGAGGGGACCCAGGAAGGCCTCTGTACAAGAAACAGCTGTGTAACAAGATTCCAGCTAAATAATTATCCAGGAAAAGTCACTAATAGATAGTGCAGGCAGATAATAAGCCATACACTGAGTGATTGGTTAAGGCTGCATGAAACTTAGGGGGTCAGCAGGAATGGGAGGGGGAGAGAGCAGGGGGGGACAGTGTGGGCATGACATAAGAAAAAAGGACCCCACAGCTGCAGGTTGCATGAACTATCATCCCAGAAATAGAAGCTCACCCCAGTGTGCCACAACACAGAGGGGCAGAATGAGGGAATGGCCAAGAGCATGTACTTTGGGGTCAAAAAGATCTAGGTTCAAAACTATTCTGGGACTCAAGAGTGGCTCAAGTGGTAGAAGGCCTGCCTAGCAAGCATGAAGCCCTGAGTTCAAATCCCAGTATTGCCAAAAAAAAAAAATCCCAGAAAATTCTATCCTGTCACCTACTAACTACTTAACTAGTTTTCTTTTCTGTACAATGGGGATAATCATATATTTACCTCATAAAGATATTGTCAAGATTACATGAAATAATGTATGCAAATGCATACCACACAGAAAACACTCAGAAAATATTAGCTGCCTTTAAAATACAAAAGCCATGGTGACCAAGATATTTAGGTAACGATAATTCTTTGTCCTCAGTAAAACACTTAGGCTTGGACAACCCTTCCATCAACCCCATGTGGACAGAGATGATGTGTCTCTCAAGCTGGATTTCCATTGCCTTGCCCTGGCATTCCAGGAATTTCTGTTGAATGAAAGAACTACAATTTGTTCCTTCTCTGGTATATCTACCCAGTTTATAAGCCTGCCAGTTTTGCTTCCTTTCTCTCCTCATTGCTCTCACTTCTCAAACCCATGTCCTTCTATCTCTACAATTACTAACCTAGTTCCTTAATTAATTTGTTATTTAATAGCCAAATAAATAATGTCTTTTATATGCCAAGCAGAATTCTAGGTTCTAGAGATTCATATGGTGAACAAGAGAGGAGCTCCTGCTCACAGAGCTTGCATTCTAGAGAGAGGAAAGCAAACAAAAAAAGTAAATAATTCAGATAATGTGGCTAAACAATTTGAAGAAAAAAATCCCCATCTCTCACACTTCCTTCTAAGATGTTTCACATCTTGTCCCATTGAAGGCCACCCTCTGCCAGAGTGCTCCATGTAAGTTTCAAATTCTAACCTTGTCACACTCCTTGAAACCTTCCAATGGCTCCCCATTGTTTTTATAGTAAAACCAAAGCTACTTACTTGGGCCCAACCTTTTCTCTAATCTTATTTTTCCTGCCACTCCCCACCTTCTAGACTGCTCCTTACCCACCCCTGCCCCACACATACACTCTTGAGCACTAATGTCATTTCTTTATTTCTGTGCAATTCCTACCTTTATTGCTCTACCCATGGTCTTTTGCCACACCCAAATGCTAACTCTCACCTGGTTAACTCCTATATTCTCAGCCACAGTTTTCTCAAGCATCACTACCTTTGGGTACCTTCCATGGTACACCTAACTTTTCAGCTCTCTCTCTCTCTCTCTCTTTCTCTTCCTCTCTCTCTTTCTCCACTGAGCTGGGTGGACCCTCTACCTCTATGATACCCCATGTGTATTTCTATTATTTCACTTCTATTATAATTATATTACTTGACTTCATGTTTCTCTTTCCCCAACAGTCGGCTTTTTGTTAGCAGGTACCATTTTTTTCCTCTATAAGTTCAAGAAAAATGCCTTGGATATATAGGCATTTGGTAAATAACATATTTAGAAATGATTTTTTAATGGAAGAAGCAATAAATGGATGTGAAAATGTATTATCTTTGCATAGCCAAAGAATCCTTGTTCTGTGTTCATTTCTTGCTCTTTATTTTATTTATTTATTTTTGCAGCTCCTGTCAGTGGACAATTTGGTGAGTGCTCCTTTTTCTGGCTCTTCAATGGATAAGAGTGTCTCCCTAATTTGAAACATTTGGCATGGCTTCCTGAGGATCCCTAATATATCCTGTTTTCCTGCCAAGCAAGCTGGGATGTGAAAGTGATGCTTGTCTCAAAATCACCTCCAGAGCCAGGGTAGCTTTATCTCATCATCTGACCCTTCATGAGTGAGGTGGTGAATGCACAGTTAGTCCCTGGCCTTTGCTAAGTTCTGCATTCACTCCTATTGCAAATGGGACCCACTTAACCAGGCAATATGTTTTCATCATCATGATAAATGTGCAGAAATCATTATGGGATTTCTCCAACCAGCTATCAGAGAAAACTCCCCTAAAAACATCACTCTCTAGAGATGCCAGCAGGAGCACTGCATCTACTTTTAGGAGTAAAATCCTCTAGGAAGTTCTTTGGAGCAAAAGAACATCCATTAACAGGATCCTTGCAAAGAAGAAATGCACAAAAAGTATCTGTATCACACACTTTTAAAGTTCTGATTCATTGCTATTTTTCTAAGTCAGAGAGTATCTTGGATATTTAAGTCCCATGAATAGCAAGAACTCTCTACAATACCTCTCCTCATTTAGAATCAGCTTCTCCATCTGTAGCCTTGTCTAGGCTTACTTTTTTTTCAATTTGGTGGTTTTGAGGTTTGAACTCAGGGCCTCATTCTTGCTAAGCAGGCACTCTACCACTTGAGCCACTCTGCCAGCCCTAGATCACCTCTAGATTCCAGAAGATGACTGATCCATTCCTTACCCACAATTAGCTGTGATGGGGTTTTCCTGGTAATTTGAATCATTACCTATAAAACAAAACTGTTAGGTAAGTTGATCTCTCAAACTTTTCTTGGTGGCAAAATCTTGTGATGAAACTATTTATTCTCTTAGGGGAAATGCAAAAATGTGATTTTTAAAATGCTTCTGAAAGCCCTTGTGATTTTATGAACATGACAAGATGGCAGGATCAGGGTGACCCACTTCCAGAACAGTCTAACTAACCATGAACATTACAGTGAACCCTGTTGGTATTAACCCCTGGAAATCATTTTGCTTGCTGCCATCCCTGGGCAATCACTCTCCCCTGAGGGAGGTAAGGGCCTTTGGCCATCAGAGACCCTCTCAGGGGGCCTCTTGGTGACTATCCAAAAGCATCTTCCCATCTATCCCACAGGACCCTCTGTAGCTGGAACTCTGGTCACCCCTGCCTTGAATTCATTTTATCTCTCTTTTCTCAGCAACTGGACCCAAATCTTTAGTTTCTCTTCAACCTCCATGGACCACTCTATTTGAAGGAGAGAAAGCGACTCTAACTTGCTATCTATTTAGCTTCTCTTCATCACTGAAAACAAAATGGTACCGTGGAGAAACATTACTAACGGAAACTCAAAATATCCTGGTGGTCCGTGACTCTGGAAAGTACAGATGCCAAGCTGACAACTTACTTCTAAGTGACCCTGTGCCCTTGGAATTTTCCAGTGGTAAGACAGAAGTAAATGAAATTAAAACCTTAGAAATCATTTCAGTCCATTTTTCTGTGTAGCTTTCACTACCATTTACTTCAGATGACTCATTATAGTTAGACAGACAAAGTTAAAAAGTTCTGCATAAAACCAGATAGGCAATAAATTTAGTTTCTTAAGTCTGAACGTAAGAATTAATAAGAAGTTTTAAGTTATTTGGATAAATTTTTATTCAGTCCAGCAGACATTGACTTTCAAGTAATACATTCAGAAGGACATAGTTTGTCATATAACAACTAAAAGTTGTGGATAAGCCAAACACTACCATTCCTTTGGAGTTGATTAATGACACAACTACATCTGTAGCTCTTACATTTTGATCCAAGTTAGAAAGTCTGGACAGCTATTTACTCATACAGATAACAGGACCTACCCTATATTTACTGAATCAAAAATCTATAGGATTCTTAGGGCCCAAAAATTTGAAGCAAGTTGCTAAGGGACTTTGAGAAGCAATTTATTTGAACAGTTTCTGAGTCATTAAAATTGTACATTAAAGTGTGTATTTTAACCCATTTTACTTACTAGGAATAATACATATCATGAAGATTTTTTTATTCTTATATGAATATATATATATTTCCTTTTTCTGTCTTAAAATCATCTGTTTAGAGGTTGAAATAGTATCCTTATTTTAATAACCCTTTTATTTAGTAGCAAAGGGGAAAAAATGTTTAAGCTCTTTGATCTAACAGTTCCCCTCGTAAACATTTTACCTACTGGAATAATCATAAATATACTCCCCTCCCAAATGAAGGACCTAAGTGATGAACAAAAGAAGACTCATTAAATAAATTATGTTGAAGAAAACTGTGGCCATTGAAAACCAGATTCAGTAATGTTATTAGTGATATAGGAAAATATTCATAGCATAAGAAGTAAAAGGCAAGTTATCAGATACATAAATATTACTCCAAACTCCATAAAAGGAAAAACAAAACACACACATCCATGAACATGGAAGAGAAAACTAGAAAAATAAATGTCAAAATTATGGAATGTTGGATGGTAAATACTTTTTACTTATATTTCTGCTGTCCAATTTTTCTCAAGGTGCATGTGTTCATTTTAACTTCAAGAAAAATGGAATGATAATTATTTTATAAGTCCTTGCTCTCATTTCCTTTCCTATAAAATCTTCTTAGAATAATAATGAAAAAAAAGAAGAGATAATGGGATGAATTAAATAACTGGTCTTGTGTTTCCTGTAGCTTCACTGATCCTGCAGGCTCCATTTGCTGTATTTGAAGGAGACTCAGTGATTCTAAGGTGCCAGGCAAGGAAAAAAACAGAACACTTTACTGTAACATTTTCTAAGAATAATAAAGTCTTAACATTACTTGATCAAAGCCTTGAGCTCCACATTCAGAATGCAAGTCTGAAGGACAATGGAGAATATCGCTGTACTGGATATGAGAAAACTTACTCCCGTGCTTCTTCCAACGCAGTCACAATTCAAGTCCAAGGTAAAACTTTCATTATTTTATGAATGGGTAAACCAAAAGGAAGATTCCTGAGGTTGCTTTGAGCTGAAGGATGTTAGGAAGAAGAAGTGGTACTGAGGATGAATTGTGGCTTGCTGCAGAGCAGTTCCAAGCCTCATTGCTCTGGGAACTGTTGTGATCCTTCTCTCTAGAGCTGTTTCCACGGCCTGTGCTGAGAGCCAGACCCTCTAATCCCACAAATGGAGGTCCAATAACCTTGACCTGTGAGACCCAGCTCCTTTCGCTGAAGCCAAATGATCAGCTCAAATTCTGCTTCTTCAAAAGTAACGGGGCTTTAGAGTCAGGCTGCAGCAGCAACCCGGAGCTCCATATCCCTGCCATATGGACTGAAAATTCAGGGGGTTACTGGTGCACGGCAGGGACAACAACCTCCCATATTTGGAAAAAGAGCCTAACATCCCTCATTGATGTGCAGAGTGAGTATCAGTGGGTTCTGAGATTTTCCAGGGATGGGAGTAAAAAAGTTGTGCAGAACTGTACATCAACTTTGGGTCACTGCTCCCTGTGGAAAATGTTTCTCATATCCATTAAAATGAGAGTTAGATGGGAGAAAAGACTAAGTCTCTGAACATCTTAGAAGAATTTAGAACCATGAAAGTTCAAGAAAAGAGAGAGAGCTTTGTTTTTTCTTTCAATGCCTTTAAATATGATTCTTTTCTTTTAGAAGGCTCTCTTCCCTGCACCGTTTTTTCTCTTGCCAAGGCCTATAAACATAAGTCATGGGCTATGACAGAGTCCTCTGACTAGGCTGAATGTTCTATTCAACCAGACGGACCAACTCATAGAATGCAAGGTGCCTAGCATAGACTGTTTAAGGACAAGAAAACCAGAGGGCAAACACTCAGGGAATAAATGGTTCAAACTAACTAGATGTTCCTAGTGATGATTTTTTACCCATTATGAATTTTTCCTAAGGTTCTAAAATTGTATAGGTTCTAGAGCAGGACTGACCAAATGCTTTACCAGATTAAATTTTATCTGTTTCATAGGAAATCTTTTAAGCATTAGAAAGGGACATATGGATTGACATGTCTACTCTCCTGAGTGGGCAAGAAGTGAAAATGACAGAATTTCCCATAAGTTTACTCTCATCCATAAGGAAAAAAATATAACAATCTGTTTCTTCTATACTAACTAAATTTTATTATTCTCCTGTTCTACAGTTACAGAAAACAGTGTTTATGAGGTCACTGGCTTAAAGAAGATTAATTCAGAGAAGGTGGAGAGGGTGTTATCTAACAATTACCACACAATAATTTCTAGCATAGCCTCTCCTTCAACAAAATTGATAGAAGCCCAACCTTAAGCCCTTTGCCCTTTGTTCAATTTTCATCCTTGGTTGCTCAAGATCTGAGAATAACTTAGAAGGTACTGTCATAAGATCACATCATTGCCTGGAACTACACCTATCACAGATTATCTTACTTCATGAAACTGTCTGACTCTACCTCCTTTGACCACCTAACTGACATTCAAGAGAGGAAAAGAGGTGCTTGATCAAAGGCAAGCTTACTACACAAGTAAATGTCTCACTTCCAATTAGCTACTGCCATCACTATATCCTCAGGAGAGCCATCTTTAATGCCTAGTCTTCTTGTCCACTTCACACCACCACCTTTCCCAGATGTTGAGCATCAGTGTTATCACTGGAATTAGGATAAGCCTAACTCCACCCCAGGCCACCTTTCTACATCAGATCAGCAGACTTTTCCCTTACCCTCCTGTGACTCTTCTCCATCTATGAGCATCCCACTGCCAAGAGTCCCATACATGTTATTTTTATTTATTCAGGGGCTCTTGCCAATGTCAAAATACATACTGTTCCAGCCTCAAAGGTGGTATCTGAAGGGCAGGAGCTGACACTCAACTGCTTAGTAGAAAGGATCTCAGGGCCCATCAAAGTTTCCTGGTACAAAAGAGACATGCGGTATAAGGAGAAAAAGACACATGTGGCCTCAAAAGCAGAATTCAAGATCCCCAGGGTGAATAGCCACCATGCTGGCGAGTATTACTGTGTTGCCAACAACAGCTACAGACACTTTACCAGCAGACCAGTAACCATCAATGTGAAAGGTGCGTTCTGCCAGGTTCCATCTGAGAGAAATGGATTATCAAACCATATGGGGACTCTTGGTGAAGAACATAGGCAGTTGGATTTTGCCTAATACAAAGACTCAAACAGTTACCAATACTGACAATTGTCAATAATTCAATGCTCTGAATAACCTGCCAGGCATTAGTCAAAGACTAGCAGGAAAGAGTTAGGGACAGAAGGGGCTGTGAGCAGGTGGAGCTCTTAGAAAGCAAGGATGAAGGAAACGCTCAAAGGTTAGGAAAATGTCCAGATCCTTTATATTTACAAATTCCTTCTCAGTTTAAGTGAAATGGCTCTTGGGAATAAAAGCAGAACAAATAGGATGCCAGAACTAGGACTTATATAGGGTCATGTCTCTCGAGAAGACTCTTTAAGCATTTGCTGGAACCTTCCCTGACCACTCTGATATCTCTTTCAAGCCAAGTGGTATGTCTTTTCCTTCCCCTTGCAGGCTTTTATAGCACAGTGTGCTGTGCTGAATATGGTAGGGTTCACTGTGAAGACAAGGGACCCTCTCTCCCTTTTGTCCTTTATCAGTTTTATCATAAGGCTGAGATTTGCAGGGCCCCAGGTTCCTATAAAGGAGGGGTTTTTCAAACTTTCTCTACTCAAAAAATATTTTGGAAGTAATGCCTGTGGCTAGTCAATAATATGGGGGCTCAGCCAGCCAGGAGAAACCACTCTCTAATGGTGTGGTCTCTGAAGTGAGAAAAGTGAACTCTGATCACCATAAGTCATACCCAGGATCTGATTGCATGCTCCCCCACAGGCTAGAGACTCCATCTACAGAAATTTCCCCAGACTCTTACTAACTTTTCTCACATGTAAATCTAGAGGGTCAGTCTGGATACAAGGAGAGGCTCAGAGCAAAAGAGGGGGCCCTGGAAGAGTATGAGAATCTAGAAGGGAAAAGGGTCAAGGGCAGAACCCAGAGGTTCTCTTTTAACCCAGGTAAAAGAGAAATGGAGAACAGGGATTGGCAAGGAGACTCAAAATGGCAGTGAGTTGAGGGTCAACTTTTCCAGATCAGAGGAAAGAAGCAAAGAGCTAATGGGTGGCAGCAAGATAAAGGACCTTTCCCCTGAGGGCACCTGCAAAATGAAAGCAGATTGCCTAACTAGAGGAATCTGGAGGGAAGAGGATAGAGGGGAAAGGAACAGACTGGAAAAGACCAGCATGGAGGGCAGAAGATAGCTGGTCAGAGAAGCCTGGGAGATTGTGGGGCTTCCCTAAGGGCCAATGAATACAGGATATTGGGCTTTTGCACTGGCCATGGATTGAAATCTACAGAAAGGCAGAAATAACTGTTGGCTAATTTTCTTTCCCTCAGTCCCAGTGTCTCAGCCTATCCTCACCCTTACTACTGCTAAGGGCCAGACTTTTGAGGGAGACATAGCAACACTTCACTGTGAAGCCCAGAGAGGTTCTCCAAGCATTGTGTACCAGTTCTATCATGAGAATGTTCCCATGGGGAGTCCCTCAACCAGTCTTGGAAGAGAAGCATCCTTCAGTTTCTCTCTAACCTCAAAGCATTCTGGAAACTACTACTGTACAGCTGACAATGGCCTGCAAGTCCAGCGCAGTGAGGCTGTGAGCCTCTTTGTCACTGGTAAGCCCTTAATTCCTGCAACTACCCATCACTGACTCAGAATCCAGTCTCACCAAACCCTTCAGAAGTCTACATGTACCTTCTGGTTTTCACTACAATCAACCTAACCCTCTTCTTGGCTCCCTTCTCAATCAACTAATTGTCTGTGGGCTTCATTGCTCATCCAGTCCTAAATAAGCAGGCTGTTACTCCGCCTGACTCCTATGTAGCACAGAAGACTGCCCAGCTTTTAACAAATGCATTTGTTTTCTTAAGTCATCTCCTCATACCCTGTATGTTCTGTCCTCAAGCTAATTTCTCTTAATTTGATGCACAGAAGCATTGCCTATTTCTTCACTACCACTTACATATTAATTTAGCTGTAAGCATGGTCACATGGACAAATATTGGGCAAGACTTTAATTTCTCCAAAGAGGTTTCCAAGCAATTACAGCACTCACAATAGGTTTGGAAGAGGTGTGAACGTGAAAGGAAATGAAGGCATGGCTCCTCAGGAACCTGCTCTTTGTTTTTCCAGGGTTTTAATAATCCATTAAAATAAGTAGAATTTTACTGTGTTATATTTTCCCAACTTTTGTTGAAGTATGGCATGCATTCAGAAAAGTGTACAAATCATAGCATAGGTTATGGTTACCCATGTAACCATTACAAGAATGTTATTTTAGGAGTCAAGTTGCTTCTGTTTACTCTTGGATCTTTGCTAGAAGAGTGAAAAATCTAGCTTTCCTCACAAAGCAGCAAGATGTCTGATAAGAAAATCTTGAGTCTGGTATGTTAGAATGTTTTACATCACAAGAAAACAGAAGACTAACATATCACTGTTCTTAAACCAACTGTCCTTGAATTCTTATTTTAGAAAGTTATAGCAAATATATCAGTGTCTCATGGGACAACATAACACATAATTTAGAAAAATAACTTTTTAGGGACCTATACGCATGTTGAAGGAATGTGACCTAAGTAGAGGGCACAGACAGATTTCATGGGAATGTGTTCTGATACATGGAACGTTTTGAGTCCATTGATAGTTCTGTGGTCTCTAAAACAAATACACAGTCCCAATACACACACACACACACACACCATGCACATAAGCAGCAATCTCAAGCAAACACCAGACTTTGAATATCACTTCATTCATTGAGTGATGAGTTATGTGCAAAAATAGAGACCCAACATAGGAACCTTGCAAAGCAGCATTTAAAATAAGTCTCATCGGCATACCAATTTTCCTTCTTTAGATATGTACCCAGAAGTGAGATAACTGGATCACATGACAGTGTTTTTTTTTCTGTTTCTATTTTTTTAATTCATTTATTCACATGTGCATACGTTGTTTGGGTCATTTCTCCACCCTGCCCCTCTCCGCCATCCTCTCCCCCCCTTTTACCCCTCAGTTCCAGGCAGTTCCTGTTCTGCCATTATAACTAATTTTGTTGAAGAAAAGACACAAGCATAATAAGGAAGACAAAGCGTTTTTGCTAGTTGAGTTAAGGATAGTTATACAGAGAGCTTCCTAACATTGCTTTCATGTACCCATGTGTTACGACCGACCCATGGTGATTCATCTCTAACTGATCTTTACACTTCTCATATTGACTTCTGTCACTTTAAGATTTCTGTATTAGTTCCTCTGGAGTGGGGACATCAAACGCTTTCATGTTTTGGGTTTTCTACTTATTTTTGTATCTCCCATATGTGCTCTCCCCTTGTCATATGATCCAAGTCCAACCACATTGCTGCATTTGCCCTAGATCTAAAGTCTGCATATGAGGGATAACATACGATTTTTGGTCTTCTGAGCCTGGCTGACCTCGCTCAGAATGATGCTCTCCAGTTCCATCCATTTACTTGTAAATTATAAGATTTCATTCTTCTTCATGGCTGGCTGAGTAAAATTCCATTGTGTACAAGTACCACATTTTCTTGATCCATTCATCAATAGTGGGGCATCTTGTTTCCATAACTTGCCTATTGTGAATAGCACTGCATTAAACATGGGTGTGCAGGTGCTTATGGAGTAACCTGTGTTGCATTACTTTGGGTGTATCCATAGGAATGGGATTGCTGGATTATATGGCAGGTCTATGTTTAGATTTTTAAGAAGTCTCCAAATTGTTTTCCAGAGTGGTTGCACCAGCTTGCATTCCCACCAGCAGTGTACGAGGGTTCCTTTTTCCCCACATCCTCGCCAACATATGTTGTTGGTGGTGTTTTTGATGATGACTATTCAAACAGGAGTGAGGTGGAATCTTAGTGTGGTTTTGATTTACATTTCCTTTATGGCCAGAGATGGTGAGCATTTTTTCATGTTTTTTGGCCATTTGAATTTTCTTCTTTTGAGAAAGTTCTGTTTAGTTTAGTTGCCTATTTCTTAATTGGTTCATTGATTTTAGGAGAGTTTAGTTTCTTAAGTTCCCTGTATATTCTGGTTATCAGTCCCATGTTTGATGTATAGCTAGCAAATATTTTCTCCTACTCTGTGGGTGTTCTCTTCAGTTTATAGACCATTTCTTTTGTTGTGCAGAGGCTTTTTATTTTATGAAGTCTCATTTATTCATCCTTTGTCTTAGTTGCTGGGCTGCTGGGGTTGTATTGAGGAAGTCTTTACCTATACCTATTACTTCCAGAGTGTTTCCTGTTCCTTCTTGTACTAACTTCAGAGCTTCAGGTCTGATATTGAGATCCTTGATCCATTTTGAGTTGACACTAGTACAGGGTGGGTGATAGACATGAATCTAGTATCAGTTTCTTGCAGACAGGTAACCACTTTTCCCAGCAACATTTGTTGAAGAGGCTGTCTTTTCTCCATTGTATATTTTTAGCAACTTTGTCAAAAATGAGGTGGGTATAGTTGTGTGGATTCATATCCAGGTCCTCTATTCTGTTCCACTGGTCTTCGTGTCTGTTTTTGTGCCAGTACCATGTTGTTATTATTGCTATTGCTTTGTAAAATAGTTTGAAGTCAGGTATTGTGATACCTCCAGCATTGCTCTTTTTGCTGAATATTGCCTTGGTTATTTGCATTCCCATGATTCTTTTGATGGAGTCAGTGAGTTCTTGCATTTTCTTTTCACAGTCTTGAGTTGTTTAACTAATAGTTCTTCAGTTTTTCCTTTAATTACCATTTCATCTTCAAGTCCTGAGATTCTGTCTTCTGTTTGCTCTATTCTGCTGGAATGGCCTTCCATTTTGTTTTGCATTTCTGTTTCATTCTTTTTTCTGAGGTTTTCCATATCATGGGTTACTTCCTCTTTAATATTGTCAATTTTTGTCCTTAATTAGTTTATCTCTCTGTTTATGGTGATCTCTGTTTCAGTTTGGTATTTATTTAGGGTTCCTGTGATTTCATTTATTTGCTTCTGTATTTTCTCATATTCTCTAATTTAGTTGTCTTGGAATTTCTTGAGTGCCTCCTGTAAGTTTTGGTTGACCATGTCTAGTAACATCTCTATGAAATTCTCATTAATTATTTATAGGATTTCTTCTTTCAGGTTGTTCTTGTGGGCTTTGTTGGGTTCCTTGGTATAGTTTATCTTTATTTTGTTGGAGTATGGATTTGGGTATCCTTTTTCTTCATTTCACCCTAAATCCAGTACTACTTTATTTTTGGGGTGAGAATGGTTTTCATCCCTTTTTCTTCTTCCCATATTTCCACTAGGTACCATTTCTATCCCTGGACTATGTGTAATTTAGTATTAGCTGGATTACAATATTAATACTAACAAAACCAAGAGAGAAGGATAAAAAAGAGAAAGAGACAGAAAGATGAAAGGAAGAGAGAAGAGAGAAAAACAATGAGAGAGATGGTGGGTGATCAAACAGCAAACCAGGCAGCAAAACCCTTAAAGAAGGGGAAAAAAGAAAAAAAAATCACCAGTTCTGGAACAGTAGAATTGCAATCTTAGTTGTTCTGATGTTAGTCCTTTAGCATCCAGTCCTGTCTGTGTGTGTCTCTTAGGCAGAGTTGGAGCCCTCCTGTGGCTAGTGGCATGTGGGTGGGGTCCCATGAACCTATAGATGGAGGCCTTTCATTGAAGCAAACTAGCAGGCCTTTGGAACATTGGCTTGGTGTGCCTGAAGAGTGCAGGCCTGGTGGAGTGAAGATTGTGCATGTCTGTTAATTGCCAGCTTGGTAGGCTATATGGGCATGCTCCTGGCAGAGATCCTGCAGGCCTGTGCAGGCCTGAAGGGTGTGGCCCAATGGAACAGAGATCGTGTGTGTGTGTGTGTGTGTGTGTGTGTGTGTGTCTGTGTGTGTGTGTGTGTGTGTGTGTGGGGGGGGGGGATTGCTGGCTTGGCAGGTCTTAGTGGTGCAGCTCTGCGGAGATCATACAGGTCTGAGGGGTGGGAGTTTGGGGCTGAGGAGCAGGCCCAAGGATCAGAGATCCCATGACCTGCACAGCAGCAGCTCCATGGGCCTATGGGGTAGGGCTTTGCGAGTAGCGCCAGCTATTCTTTTAGTATATTGTGTCATGGAGAAGCCTTCCACAAGCTAGGGGTTAAGAGTGCTGCTGTTTCAATTCTCCCTTGTGCTTTACCTCATCTAAGTGTGTCTCCAGCCTCTCAGCAAAATTCCTGGTTCACGGAGCTGAGGAGGTCTGTGGCTGTATCCCAGTCGCCATCTTGGATCACATATTAGTTTTATTTTTAGCTTATTTTGGGGAGCCTCCATTCCATTTCCCATAACGACTCTACTAATTTACATCCACCAAAAATGTATAGGAATTTCCTTTTCTCTGCTTCTTTGCCAGTATTTCTTAATTTTTGTCTTTTTTGATAATAACCATTTGATTTGGAATGAGATAATATCTCATGACTTGAGTTGCATTTCTTTTTCACATACTTTTTGGCCATATGTATCTCTTCTTTTGGAAAAATGTTTATTTAGATCATTTTCCCATTTTTAATTGGATTATTTGATTTTGGCTGATGATTTTTTGAGTTCCTAATCTATTTTTTATATTAATCTCTTGTCAGATGAGTAGTTTGCAAATATT